GAAGGATTACCATCTTACATAACACACCTTGTGGAATTACATTTAACTTGGGCAAGAACACCGTCACATGTTGCATAGGAAAGTACTTGCAAATGTATCTTTAACCCCCCCCCCAAAAAAAGAACTTTAATGGAAAAGAAGAATACATATTGGTGGGGTTTTCTCAATAGAACATGATAAATGAAAAAGTAATTGGAAATGCACTTAGTGTGAAAAGGTAGAATCTCTATGAGGAAAACAATAGGCTACTACACATTTGAGTTTTATAGTCCAGTATCTGAGAGTTAGATATTGTTGTTGTTTCAACTGGATTTTAATAAAAAAAGGTATTAATGGCACTTGACAGGGTCCAGGAAAACCTATGTCGTAATAATTGTGTTAGTCTTTAAGCTGCCTCAAGACTCTTTATTTTTGCTCTACAAGACAAATATGGCTACCTCACTGGAAATAGCCATTTTATATTTATAGATTCTATATTGAAAAGGGTTGTTTTTATTTTATACACTATCTCAATCCTTCTTGGAAAGAAACCATGGTGGGGTGGCAGCTTTTCTACTTTATGGCAGTCTAAGTGGAAATAAAGTCGTGTTAACCTGTTTTTTTTAAACGAATTGCTCCAGTTCATGGAAAAGTACTAGCAACAGAGTGTATATCTTTCTATTTAATGACAAGAAAATATGGCAGCCATAAATCCCTCCCCCTTCTTTGTTTTGTAATTAATTCAAATAAATGTGGACAATTTGAAATCCGTTTTTTTAAAAAAAAATGCACACAGGCAAGCTTTAGTCAATGGGGAAAAAGCACACAAAATGTGCATATTAAGGAAATGGAGACAGGGAGCTTCACAGATGGTTGCCCTTCCCCCTCAGGCAATGCCAAAACGTCTGGGTGTTGGCGCACAGAACACAACACAAACCGACAAAAGGCATACCCAAGGTCAGCCACCTGCAGTAGAGAACAGAGCCAGCAGGACAAGAGTGGAGACCCACACCAAAGATGGGGGATACCTGGCTCAGCAATACTACAAGCGAGAAGGATCTTGTAATTGTCGTACTGTTTCAATCCTTCTTGGAAAGAAACTATGGTTGAGGTGGCAGCTTTTCTACTTTGTGGCAGGTTATACATAAGTCTAAGTGGAAATAAAGTCGTGTTAACCTGTTTTTTTGAAACGAATTGCTCCAGTTCATGGAAGAGTATTAGCAACAGAGTGCATATCTTTCTATTTAATGGCAAGAAAATATGGCAGCCATCAATCCCTCCCCCTTCTTTGTTTTCTAATTAATTCAAACAAATATGAACAATTCGAAATCCTTTTTAAAAAAATGCACACAGATAAGCTTTAGTCAATGGGGAAAATGCACACAAAATGTGCATATTAAGGAAATGGAGACAGGGAGATTCACAGATGGTTGCACTTCCCCCTCAGGCAATGCCAAAACCTCTGGGTGTTGGAGCACACAACACAACACAGGCAAAAGGCATCCCCAAGGTCAGCCACCTGCAGTAGAGAACAGTGTCAGCTGGACAAGAGAGGAGACCCACACCAAAGATGGGCATACCTAGCTCAGCAAAACTACAAGCGAGAAGGATCTTGTAATTGTCGTAGATCACAAGCTAAATATGAGCCAACAGTGTGATGTGGCTAGAAAAAAGGCTAATGCTATTTTAGGCTGCATTAAAAGAAGTCTAGTTTCCAAATCCCGTGAGGTGCTAGTCCCCCTCTATTTAGCACTGGTTAGACCTCACTTTGAGTATTGTGTCCAGTTCTGGACACTACACTTCAAGGAGGATGCTAACAAATTGGAACAAGTTCAGAGGAGGGCGACAAGGATGATCAGGGACCTGGAAATCCAGCCCTGATGTTTAGCTTTGAGAAAAGAAGACTCGGGGTGAAAGAAGACTCGGGGTGATATGATAGTACTTTTCAAATATTTAAAAGGCTGTCATACAGAGGAGGAGCAAGATCTGTTCTCAATCATCCCAGAGTACAGGACACACAACAATGGGCTCAAGTTAAAGGAAGCCAGATTTCGGTTGGCTATCAGGAAAAAACTGTGAGAGCAGCACGACAGTGGAACCACTATCAGGAAAAAACTGTTACAGCAGCAGGACAGTTGAACCAGTTACCTCAGAAGTTGGTGAGTGCTCCAACACTGGAGGCATTCAAGAAAAACGTAGATAATCACCTGGCAAATATGCTTTAGTTGTATTCCTGCATTGAGCAGGGGGTTGGAATTGATGGCCTTGTTTCCAACGTCACTTTTCTGTGATTCTATGAAAGATAATAAACCCAGCCAATCCCTCTGTAGCATTTCTCATCTTGCATCTGCCGGGATCTCTGCTGAACCACCTGGCTTGTTTACAACCATGCTTCTTTCTACTCTCTGTTTAATCTTCCTCCAGTATGACTAGAGATGGACACAAAACTAACAACACTAAAAACCATGAATTGAGCCATTTCATAGTTGTTTGGAGGGACTTTGGGGAAACGCACCTGTCTAAAAGGAAATTGAATACCAAACTATTATTGTTGATAGTGATTTGTATACTTTGTTTTGGGGCACATCATCCCTGGCCAGACAGCCTGGCACCAGTCAGTTAATTCCCTAGACAATATTTGAATGGACCTAGAGAAAACCTTGTGTAGGATTGATTGTCAGGTAAAGACTCACTGCACGTTTCGCATCTCTAACTCACATGCGAGCCAATCTACTGCTCTTGAAAGTCCCGATTCACACAAACCACAGAACGATTCATTTTGCCAGAAAGTTTGTGAAACTTTGTGGTTCATGGTTCATGAATAATGATGAACCATAAACCATCATGAACCACCATTTTCCTGGTTCATGCCTATCTCTAAATATGAGTGATTCATGGACTGGCTTTCCAGCTGTGGTCTCTGATTGTTCTTTGCATGCCCATGAAACTGTTCATGACCAGACTGCCTTTTGACCTGGACAAGCCTTGGACTCTGTAGAACTCCTTTCTATATTTGCTGCCTCCTGCAGAACTGTTGCCTACCTAAGATATTGCCTGGTTCTGCTGATCCTGGTTTTCTGGCTGAAGAATTCTGGGAACTGTGGTCCAGAAATGCAACTCTCCCATGATTCTTTTATTAAGTGGAAGGTTTTTCCCTATGGCTTAACATTTACATTAATTATCTAGTCACAAATAAATGCTATTCATTAGGGACGTACATTACCTTCAGATAAGAACTGCTGGATCACTCAGATTATAAGCATGGAAACCTTAACTGTACTTCTGAATTTCTGGGGTGACCATGGGGCAGAGCCCTTAAAGCAAGTGTCAGTGAGAAGAATGTTAAGATTTCTATTAAAGAAAACTCTTCTTACTGAAGCATGCCACAAGATGGCAGTGCAGACTTGAACATTGCTAATAACTTTAGCACCGTCTTGTTCTCCTCCCCCTTTCCCTCTCCTTTGCCCTTTTCTGTTCTGTTCTGCTTTCTCCAGTTATTGTTGTTGTTGTTCAGTTGTTAAGCTGGGTCGAACTCTTTGTGACTCCATGCACCAGAGCACGCCAGGCCCTCCTGTCTTCCACTGCCTCCCGGAGTTGTGTAAAATTCATTCTGGTAGCTTCGATGACACTGTCCAGCCATCTCATCCTCGGTCGTCCCCTTCTCCTCTTGCCTTCACACATTCCTAACATCAGGGTCTTTTCCAGGGAGTCTTCTCTTCTCATGAGATGGCCAAAGTATTGGAGCCTCAGCTTCAGGATCTGTCCTTCCAGTGAGCACTCAGGGTTGATTTCCTTTAGAATGGATAGGTTTGTTCTCCTTGCAGTCCACGGGACTGTCAAGAGCCTCCTCCAGCACCACAATTCAAAAGCATCAATTCTTCGTGGTCAGCTTTATTTATGGTCCAGCTCTCACTTCCGTACATCACTACAGGAAAAAACATAGCTTTGACTATTCGGACTTTTGTTGGCAAGGTGATGTCTCTGCTTTTTAAGATGCTGTCGAGGTTTGTCATCGCTTTCCTCCCAAGAAACAGGCATCTTTTAATTTCGTGGCTGCTGTCACCATCTGCAGTGATCATGGAGCCCAAGAAAGTGAAATCTATCACTGCCTCCATATCTTCCCCTTCTATTTACTGTTGCCTTATAATGCTGAACTTTCCTTTACCCCACTTTCCGGGTAATATGTATTACTTCTCATTCATTTTGTACTTCATCATCAATGTTGATTGTGTCTATTTGCCCTGAGTTTTTTCCCCTGTTTATTTCCCTGTCCACACTGTTTAATGCCAATAAAGGTTTATAGTATCGAAAACAAGTATTTCCATGTATAGCAACAGGTGTCATGATGCAGGGTGAGAATTGCCCAATTTGAGTTTACAAAGTCTGTCAATGGGAACTAAGTTTTGTAAAACCTAGTGCCATCACCACTTTGATTAAATTTTTCAGATGTCAAATGCACATGTGTATTAATTTGATGTTGTGTTCCCTGAGCTTGATTGATATATTCTTAAGTACCGAATACACCCACAGTAACTAAAAGAGGTTTCTCCTCATGATAGTTTCACAGATCACTTTCCCAAGTCCTTTTCACTCTGTTTTAATATCATAAAATGCTAACGTAAGAACATCTTTGTGCATAAAAAGAGGAACAAATCAAGTATAATGGGGAAAGGGATCAAAACGATCGCAGGATTGCTTTGATCCCTTTCCCCCTCCTTTTGCTAAGCACCACAGGGCTTAGCATGAAAGGAGAAAGCAGGGATCAAACTGATCCTGCAGTGCTTTGATCCTGTTCCCCCTACACTTGTTAAGCCCCACTTAGATTTCTTAATTTTGGGTTAGAAAAATGGGGGCATCTTATACATGGTTGCATCTTATACGTGGAAAAATACAGTATGTGGAAGATATCAAATTATGAAGAAGACACTAAAACCTTCTGAAGGAGCTTCTCAAACTCGCTAAATGAGCAGCTGGTGAAAAGGACGCACACTTGTACATGCTGGAGGGAATACAACCACCCACATGGTGTTGGTTGTCTTTTTCATGGGGATCCGTATACTCCTCCTACTCCACAGCACAATGTCTGCGAATAGCCTTATTCTGCTCTATTCTGGGGACAAAACAAAGGGAAAAATGGGAGATTTTGTTGCTTCACTTGCAATTTATGATAGTTCCTTCAAGAATCAGCATCAGTCTTTGATAGTTTTCTACCTTACCTCTGAACTGCTGCATCATCTCAGCTAGAAAAATATTTTGATCACAGACATCCCAGACTTTCAACTTCAATTCAGGAGGGAAAGCCAGAGGATTCTGAAAAGTCTTCGTCTTCTCCTCACTGCTGATGAACACAAACAAGGTTACCTCATCACTCACAAAATCTAGCCCACAATTCCCTGGTAAAGGAAAACAAAAGAGCAGAGTGGATGATCAAAACAGCAGAGAGAAGCCTGAGGGCATTTTTGCGGTCCTCAAGACCACACCCTCGAGGCCTTTCAAGTTTTAAAAAAAAAGTCATTAAAACTCTTCCTCAATACAGTGGTGGCTTGGCGATGTTAATTCGTTCCAGTGAAATTGCTGCAGAGCAAAAACGTTGTCAAATAAAATAAAAAAAAAACATTGAAATGCATTGAAAAAGTCATTCTCAAAGAGACAGGCTAGTCTGATATGGCAGCCGAGACTCCTATATATGAGCTTCGGCATTAGTGAGAAAAGATTAGCTTGCTGTCTCTGTAACTTAAGCCACAGCAGAGGTTCTCCAGATGAGGTGTGCCTGGCCATGAGATGTCAGATTTTATGGGAATTCCAGATTCCTTACATTTGTACTTCCTCATATTTCTTCACCACTTGTTTCATCCTTTTTGCTTATCATACGAAATCTGCAGAGGAGGGTAAAAATAGCTGTACAATGCTTTTTGATGGCAGCACTAGATGTTGTCTGTCTGGAAGCAGCCAGAATTGGAACAACTTCTCCCTCCTTCATTTTTCCTGTGCTGCAGTGCACTTGTTCCCCTTTTGAATACACAGAAGGCCAGCTATGTTAATGTTTTGCAGAGAGGGCTATGGGAAGTCTTGTGGCCCTGTAAAGACTAAGACATGTGTACAACTTAAGCTGTTGTGGTGGATTCATATGCGTAGAGTTTGTGGGAAGGGGCAACTTGTACACAATGTGAACTTGCCAGCCAGGATATCAAGTGTGTGAGAGGATGAATTGGGCCCAGAAAGCGTGTGACATAATATGTGTTAGTCTTTAAGGCGCCGCAAGGCTGTTTTTTTAAATTATTTTGCTTTAGTGGAAAAAAAATAGGTCATTAAACTTGCCATTTCTGTTAAAGAGAGGGCAACACTGACACACACTAGTCAGCTTTTATGTACTTATTGATTTATTTATTTAAAATATTTTTATCCTGTTTTTCTCCCTAAAAAGGATCCAAAGCAGCTTACATCATTAGAAGACAGTATTGAAAGGAACTATAGTAAAAGCAAAAAATCCAAAAAGATCAAACAAATAACATATTAAGAAATATAAGCAACACCAAAACACAGTCAAAGCAATAAGGTATAAGTATCCATTTAAAAGCATAAGCCACACCAAAATGCATTCAAAGCAGTAAGTTACAACAGTCCGTGACATTAATGCTTTGAAGGAGACACTTTAACAAATACAGCCTGAATCTCATTGGTGGTCCCAGCTAGAATTCACTTGATCTATTCTAGCTGGAACTAGCAACTGGGTTTATTCTATTGTATTATTACAGAGCATTCAGCTTTCTTGCACTTCTGCCTCCCTAGTCAAATATAAGTGTGCAGGGAGGGCTCCACTCTGGATCAGAACTGCTGCAAGTGTGGACTGCCAATTCCATTCCAAGCCACTTTGCTCTGAACATCCCTTCCCCGTTATTCACAAAAAGGAATTCAAGAAAGGAAAATGCCTCCATTCATTCGGCAAGTCATATGGAGGCGGCTGCTTGACTCTGATGGTAGATCTCCTTAGCTGGATCAGCCAGTTGCTCTTTAAATATAGAAGCTATTGTCAAAACATTAGCAGAGAACTTGCAATCACTGTGCAGTGCTAGCAAAATGATGGACACAACTGTCATAATATTAACACAGAGCTGACTCTGTAATACTGGCAAAATGATTCTTCAAAACAAGGCCAGTGATTTCTTAGACAACTGGAGTGGGAAGACTTCGCTTTGCCTAAATACATGCTTAGCTGTAAATATATTATGACCAGCCCAACCTAGCTAACCTGCCCTTTCCTTTCTCTGGACTTGCCTTAAACCCAAATGGTTTAAAACTTAAAACACAAAAGCAAGTTAAAAAAAAAAAGTATTATGGTTAAAAGGCACATTCTTAAGCTTGAAGTTACATGTGTCATAAGAATCAACTTTTCCATGCCTGAACTAGCTCTCCCTGTTACGAAGTAATTATACAGCTCCCTAGAAAACCCAAACTTCTGACCTTAGATGAGAACTACTGTAACTCCTTCTCCTCCTCTCTGCTCCTTCTTCCTCCTGGCATCTCTTGATTGGCTCTCCTTTCTGACATCTTCCAGCCAATCATGTTCGTCACTAGGTAGAATATTGGAGGGTTCCTTCACATATATATATCCTTGATGTTGTTAAATGCCAGACCTGCCCTAAATAAAGCCCAGCTTATTCAAGACCTGATCTTGGATGAAGGAGCAGATCTGGCCTGTATTACTCAGACCTGGGTGGGTGCAAAGGGCGGTGTAGCCCTCTCTTTAATTTGCCCACCTGGATATTCCATCCAACAACAGGGTTAGGGACTGGAGGGTTGGGGAGGGGGGTTGCCATTGTCTACGAAAACACCTTTGAGGTTGTCTGGCTACCTTGATGATTGCAGGCCCAGAGGCCCTCCACGTATCGGTGGGGACAAGGGATGGATTTGGGATTGTATTGGTTTACCGTGCTCCTCGCGACGCAGCACTCTCCTTTCCGCAGCTGGCGGGCTTCATCTCAGCAGTGATGTTGAGGTCACCCAGGCTCCATGTTCTGGGCGACTTCAACATCCATGCTGAGATGGAAGCCACTGGTCCAGCTATTGAGTTCTTGGAAACCATGGCTTCCCATCCCTTGAGTGCTGCCTGGATGCCATGCTGCCATGGATAATTGATAATAGACTGAGGCTGAACCCGGGCAAGACAGAGATCGTGTGGGTGGGTGCCCCTAGTGTTCATGGATTGGGTGCCTCCCACTCCTTTGGGGGAGTCTACTCTCTCTGCTAAGGATGAGGTTTGCAGCTTGGGTGTACTACTGGACCCAGCACTGTCAATGGAACCTCAGATAGCATCTGTGGTCCATTCTGCCTACTTCCACCAAAGGCAGACTGTCCAGCTGCGTCCTTACCTTGACACCAGATCCCTCACCATGCTGGTTCATGCACTGGTAGTCACGAGAGCATTACTACTATAAGGTTGTCTATGTGAGGCTGCCCATGAGGCTGTATTGAAAACTTCAGCAGATCCAGAGCACGGCGGCCAGATTACTGAGTGATGTTAAGAAACATCAACACATTTCTCCTACCCTGGCTACCCTGCACTGGTTACCTGTCCATTTTTGTGCCAGCTTCAAGGTGAGGGTGTTAACTTATAAAGCCCTAAACGGTTTGGGCCTCAATACCTGACAGAACGCCTCCTTCTGAGATCTGCCCATCCCATTCGATCTTTCCAGGCCAGGTGGTTGAGAGTTTTGACCCCAAGAGAGGCCCAGAAACCATAAACTGTGTCTTCTCGGTGATTGCTCCTCAGCTCTGGAACAAGTTCTCACTTGAAATCTGCTTGGCCCCTTCACTGGGAATTTTTAAGCGACTGTTAAAAATGTGGCTTTTCTGGCAGGCTTTCCCAGACCTTACAACATCTTAATTACAACACCTAATTACAGTGAGTGGTCTCAACATTTATACTATCAATCCTGCTGTCTTGCTCTATATGACATTATTTTATATTATTTTAACTATTTTATTTAAATTGTTGATTGTTTTACTTTATTTTGATTTTGTATTGTTGTGTTCATTGTTGGTATAGTGTATGTTTTATTTGTCTTAACGTATAAACTGCCCAGAGTGGCCTAGTAGCCAGATGGGCAATATAGAAGCCGAATAAATAAATTACTTGTCCTGTCAAGTGTTTGGCTTTGATTTACACTGACAGAAGTCCTTCAAACATCAGCTAAAAATGAAGAAAAAAAAAAAAACAGAAAAAACCAGAAATGCATAGAGTAACTACTCCATCCTGGCAACTTCTCTCCAAGCCTCTCTGTGGTGTCTCAGTGACTGCAGTAGGCTGAAGGATTCTTGGTCTTCATGGTCAGTAGGGTAAAGCTGGCTCAGGCCCTTCCTTGTAAAGCACAGATGCAATCCATTTCCTTTCCCCCACTTTTAATAGCAATGTGTCATTTTAATTTTAAAATATTTGCCTCCAGAAATGCCAGATTTAACATGTGGGTTCATGTGGGGCGTAGTGTTCTGATCGCTCTGGGGCTCTTTGCTCTGCCCTGTGGTCCTCAGAAAGATGCAGAGAAATGGTCCTGCTTGACTTAGTGTTTCACCATTCAGCCTCATCATACTAATGCTAAGACATGAAAAAATGTGGGCTTCTGTTCAAGCTTGTGTAGCTGAAATGTAGTTTCTTTAATATATTGGTGTCCATGGTGGTTTCCCTTCAATGCTAAATGACAGCATGGTAGGCTTCTTGCCAGCCACTTCATAAGGGCAGCAATGTTTACCTTCCCACACCCGACTAGTCAAACACAACAAGGCAAAGCATATTAGTCAGGATGACAAAGCAAAAACTCTCTTCATTTCCCCTCATTGGCAAGCACAAGCTTGAACATGAAATTTTATCTTGGGATTTATTAATCATTCACAGCTGGAGAACAGATGATTCCAAACTAGATGTGTGCAGCAAGAAAGAGGCCATGGCCCCCAAATGTCCCTGAAAAGCAAAATAATACAGAAGACTCGGGTCTACCACCCTCAATGTCACCAGCAAGAATTAAAGAGTACTGTTGCATTTACACAGGAGAGGAGGAGGAGGAAGAAGAAGAATTGGCAGCTGAGTTCCTGTTCCTGAGGACAGTTATTTTTCACTTTTATGATGCTGCCAGACAGCTTTATATTGCTTATGTAAAAAACAAACAAACAAACAATTGTCTTTAGTCTAAAGGCTGAAAGCACAATTACAAGATTATAAAACCTCTCCCTCCCAAAACCTACAATCTTCTAAAGATGCCAGGCCTGCACCATCAACATTTTCTCTTGGCCTACAAATTCCAGCAGCCCAAGACAGCAGTTGAGGCATTAAAGGAGCTGAAATTCATCTGGACAGGCTTGAATTCACAGCTGGACATGATGCTCACAGTAATGGGATATTATTGAGTAAATGCAATGGAAGTGAATTTACATTACCCTTCACTGTGTAGTCACAGAGATCTCACTTGTGAATTTGCTTTCTTTGTTCCTTTTTATAAATCTGGAAATTCAACAGCAAAGTCACATTCGTATGTCATTTCATATATTTTCCCTACCCATAC